ATATCACAGCTCAGTGGGATCTCCGAATGTGTCAGTTTGCTTTTCCTTAGTAATTCAATCCATTCATTAAACTCATGCAGTGGGTCAAGCAGTGCTGGGGATGAAAATAAGAAAAAAGAAAGACAATCCTTGCCCTTAAGGAGTTTACAATCTAATGGGGGAAGACAGCACACAGAAGGAAGATGACAAGGGGATGTACCAAGGGGCACCCAGCACAGGGCTGGGGGACTGAGCCATGATATTCCATGGAGTCAAAACCAGGCAGACCAGCTGAGACTTACCTGGGAAGTTCACATCTGAGCCTTCTAGGCGGGAAGGATTTGGGAAGAGCTTATTGCTCCACCTTCCAGGCCTCCAATCAGAGAGGACAGGCAACTGAGGTGGCTGAGAGGGTATCAAAAACTGAATCAGTTTCCTGGCTCAAGAGAACCAGGGACAGCTTTGTGCTTGTCTTTGTATCACCAGCTCTTGGCATGGTGGATGGAACACAGTAGCATTTATAGAGCACAAGAAAGTTTGCAAACTGCTTCGGGAATGTGATCGCATTTGAACCTCACAACTAGCCTGGAAAAAAACTATCGTGCCCAGCACTGAGTTGAGCACAGAACTCTAGATGTTGTCTGGCTGGGGCAGAGCATGGTATGACTCTCACCTCCAAGGACCTGGAAGCTTAAGACAACATTAGCTATTTGGACCTCAGATCTCCAGCTATTTTGGGAGAAAGTAAGTGGAGGAAAGCAACCTGCAAGGGGATACTTCTGGAAGATGTGTCGCCCAGACACACAAATTGAGTTCTCTCTCACTGAAGACTGCAGTGTTAAAACTTGACACTCCAAAAATAATCCTCATGCAACTCCTACCCAGTGTTAACCAAGATGCTGCAGACATTCAGGGGGCAGGTCCTCATTTTGTTCCTGTTTTCTCAGCTAAGGAGGATGCCCTGTGGACTGGAAAGGACAGAATGAAAGGGCTAACAGGGACTTGGTAGTCAAGATGATTAGGGAGATGTTAAGAGAGTCCCTACCTGTCCTTCCTGAGTTTGACACCTTGCCCCGATGAAGACCAAAGAACTGATAGATGCGAGGCTTCCTCAGCTATGGTTATGAGTCAGTCTTTGAGAGATCATGGGGAGTGGAAAAGTACCACAGGATTGGAGAAGGGCAAATGTTGTCCCAATGTGAAAAAAAGGGAAAGAATGGAGATTAGAGGCCAGACAACTTGACTTTGATTCTTGGTCAAATTCTAGGATGGATCTTGAAAAGGATGGTTAGTGAACATTTGGAAAAGGAAGAAATGATCACAGAATGTTAAGCACACAGCTTTATCAATTACAGGTTGTGGCAGCCTCATTTCATTTCCTGCCTTGACAGGGTTGCTAGACTGGTCGATCAGGGAAAGGCTGTGAATGCAGATTATAGCACAATGTGATAGAAAAGCTTTCATGAAATTCTTGTTGGGGAGTGGGCAGGAAAGGAAATAAGCATTTGTTAAGCTCCTATTATGTGCCAAGCACTGGGCTTCGTGCTTAACAAATATAAACTCATTTGATCCTTACAACAACCCTAGGAAGTAGGTGCTATTATTCTTCCCATTTTACAGTGAGGAAACTGAGGCAAAGAGACGTTAAGTGACGTGTCTGAGGTCACACAGCTAAGAAGTGTCTGAGAGCAGATTTGAACTTACATTTTTACAGAAGAGTAGATTAAGTCCCAGAGATATTAAGTGATTTGCCCAGGGTTGCACAATAAATATCAGAGCCAAGATTTCAATCCAGCTTCTATGATTCCAAGTCCAGTCCTCTTTTCCAGTATACCATATTTCCCTCTTATGGCAGAGCAAAGTTGCCAAAAAAAAAAAAGTTTGCCAAGCAAAAAACACTGGGCTTAATTAGGAAGAAATTTAATTAGGATAAATATCAGATCTTACACCTGGTTTCAGAAAGTCAATTTCATGAGTACAAAATGGAGGAGGGCAACAGTTCATGTGAAGAAGGGGATGGCAAACTCAACCCTATGACGAAGTAGCCAAAACAGCTAACCTTATCTTAGGCTACCTTAAGAAAACCATAGCATCTAGGGTAAGGAGGTGATGGGCCCTCTGCACTCTGCCCTAGTCCGAGCCCATCTGGAGGACTACGTTCAGTCCTGGGAGCCACATTTCATGAAAGATATTTATATGTCAGAGAACATCCACAGGAAGGTGGCCAGAATGGTGAAAGGCCTTGAGTCCAGGTCATCTGAAGACACTGGGGATGCTTAAATGCCTGGAGAAGACCCACGCGAGCCATGAAAGGTATCTTCAGTATTCGTAGGGCTATCACATGGGATTATTCTTATTCTCTTTGGAACAAGGACAGAAGGTACAAAGAGGGAAATTTAGATTTGAAGTCAGGAAAAGTTTCTGAACAATGAGTTGTCCAGAAGTAGAATGGCTTGCCTGGGAGGTTCTGAACTGGTCCTCTCCAAAGTTTAGAAAAAGAGCCTAGAAGAGCATGTCAGATATGCTGAAGCAGAGATTCCTTTTTGGAGGTATGGGTTGGACAAGATGGTCACTGAGCTCCATTTCAGGCCTAAAATTCTATGATTCCAGTGCTCAGAGGAGGATAAGTAACAAATCAATTAATCAATTCATTAGGCATCTACTCTGTGCCATCCAGAATGGTAAAGGGGTTCATGTTCATGCCATAGAAGGATTGGTTGAAAGAATTAGGGATGTCAAAGCCTGGAGAAGAAAAGATGGGAGGGCATGATGGTGGTCTTCATGTCTGTTGTGTAGAAAAGGGATTATCTTTGTTCAACTTGTCCTCAGAGGACAGAACTAGAAGCATTGGGTGGAAATTACAAGGAGGCAGGTTTAGCCTTAGCACAACTTCTTAATGATTAGAACCATCCCAAAGTGGGATGGGCTGCCCTGGGAGGTAAGAAAGGACATGAGAAAGTGACTTGAGGGAGACAGTGAGACAGAAGAGTAGTGGGCTCCCTCTCACAGGAGGTCTTCAGGCAAAGGTTGAATGAGCACTTGTTGAGGGTTTTTTGGAGGGAATTCTTCTTGGAGAAAGGGTTGGATTGTATGGTCATGAGATCCTGTCAGACTTGAAGATTTTCTGATATATCCTCTTCCTTGACTTTTGCTCTAAATCAAAGGTCTTATCCCTGCTCTTTCCTTCCATCACTCAAAACAAATGGCCTCAGCTCCTATTTGACTGAAAACATATCTGAGGGCCTTCCCATGATGAGAGGAAATGCCATCAATTTTCTCCCTACTCACATCTGTTGCCCTGAAGTCCACTTCACCTGTCTTCCTGAGTTGTCGTCGTCTCCTGTTCCTCTTCTGTCTCTGGGTTCTTTTCCTCTATGTCCTTAATTTTGACATTGCCCAAGGCTCTTATCTCAGGCCTCTTCTCTTTCTACAGTTTCCCTCGGGGATATTTTGCCCCCAGTCCCATCATTTCATTGTCGATCTTGGAGGACTTCTATATCGATCTAGTTTTCATGACACTGCTCTCTCCTGGATTTCCTCTTACTTGTTGGACCACTTCTTCTCACTTGCCTTTGCTGGATGTTTGTCCAGGTCATGTCCATTCAATGTGGGTGTCTGCTAAGGAAGTCTCTGCCTGGGTTCCACTTCTCTGTCTACAGGTGATCTTGTCAGCCTCAATAGTCATCTCGATGCTGATGATTCTGGCATCTTTTTCCAGCCCTAAACTCTCTCTTAACCTCCAGTGTCACATCGACAACTAACCACCTGTTCAACATCTCAAACTGGATGTCTCCTAGACATCTTAAACTCAACATCTCCAAAACCAGATCCATCAGCATCCCCCCAACCCTCCCCTCTTCCTCATGTCCTATCACTGTTGAGGGCATCATCATGATCCCAGTCACCCACACCACCAAACCAAGTGTCATCCTGGACTCCTCATTCTCTTTCATTCCCTGTACCTAATCTGTTGCCAAATGTTGAGCATTCTGCCTCTTGGCACCTTTTCTATACATACACTTCTCTCCTCTGTCACTGCCACCAAGCTCTCTCCACTCTAATCAATCCTTCACTCAACTGTCAAGCTCATCTTCCTAAAGCACTACTCTGATCCTATCATCTCTCTATTCAGTAAACTCCAGTGGCTCCTCGGGCCCTCCATGATCGAATGTAAAACCTTGTGTTTGCTGTTCAAACCCCCTTGTAACCTGCCTCCTCCTTCCAATCTTCTCACACCTTCCTCTTTCTTCCCTACTCTGTGATTCCATGACAATGGCCTCCTTTGGTCAAGTCACTCCATCTCCTGACACTAGGCATTTGCACTGGCCAGCCCTCATGCCTGGAATGCCCTCCCTCCTCACCTCTGCCTCCTGGTCTCCCTGGCTTCCTTCAGGTTTCAGCTAAAATCCCACCTTCTACAGGAAGCCTTTCTCAACCCTTTGTAATTCTCTCTAACTAAGTCTTAATACATAAATTCTCTCTCTTCACTCTTCCTAATTGCCCTCTAGTGACTATTTCAAATTTATCTCTACACATCTTGTTTGTACACAGTTGTCATTAGCCTGGGAGCACCTTGAGGGCTGGGACCATCTTTTGCCCATCTTTGTGTCCTAAGTGCTTACCAAAGTGCCTGGTACATAGTAGGTGCTTGATAAATATTTTTTGAACAATACATTGGTCCATTATAATGGATAACTGAAGGTGTATCTAGATGTTGAAGTGGATACAGCACTGGCCCTGGAGGCAGGAAGACCTGAGTTCAATTCCAGCCTCAGACACTTGACACTTAACTAGCTGTGTGACTCTGGGCAAAGTCACTTAACCCCAATTGCCTTGCCAAAACTAATAATAGTAATAATAATAGCTAATTGAATAATGAATGAGGGTCCATTCCTACAGACTGAGTTGGATGGGACCTCAAAGGTCACCTAATGCAACCCATACCTTACTGGAAACCCTTTGAGTAGTTTTGGAAGCTCTCTCCACTTCCTGCATAAAGATGCCTCCCTTTGCTTTGACAGGTGAGGCCACTTCTGTGTTTGAGTTTCTCGGACCTACTTCTGGGGACGTGTTGGCTCCTGGGGGCTCTGCTGTACGGGACCCCGATGGCCAAAGAGGACGTTGTCTGTTATAACCTTCAAACCACAGGCCAGGTGAGTCTGCCCAGGTGGCCACTCACCTGACAAGGCGGGACTTCCTGAGATGGGAACAGGAAGCCAGGATGGGATGATTGCCTCCTAGGGAGGGGTCTGCCAACTCTTTCATTTGGTCCCCAAAGCTCACCATCTTATTTCTGGAGTAGATCACCTGGTCAACTTTGCTCATCTCTCACTATTAGCCAACAGGTCACAATATCCTGCCCAGCAGCCTACAGACAGAATGAATCTTTTGTGTGTCCAGGGCATGCGGACTAAGGGTGTCAGGCATAGTGCCAATAGCTGATAAAGGCAGAAGGTTTTAATAGCCAACATCTCTGTAGCATTTTAAGGTTTGCAAAGGGCATTATGAGGGTAATATATTCCATTTGATCCTTATGACAACTCTGGGAGGTAGGTGATGTTATAATTCCCACCCAAGAGATGGGGCTGAGCAGGATTAGTGCTCAAGTCTACCTAACTCTAAGTCCAGTGCATTATCCCCTGTGCTGCAAGGGACCATTGAGGGAAGTTGTAAGTGGTAACTAAGAGTCGGATGGAGAACAGGAAAGGTGTAACACACCTAAAGTCACAAGAAGGGGGAAGAAAGAGAGAGAGAGAGAGAGAGAGAGAGAGAGAGAGAGAGAGAGAGAGAGAGAGAGAGAGAAGGAAGGAGGAAGGGGTGGTCAAGTGGCCAAGGCTTCAGAGAAGCAAGGAGGAGGAGGCCTGAAAAAAAAGCCACTAGATTGGATGATTTGAAGGACATCTGAATAATAATAATAGTGATAATAATAATAATAGCATTTTTTTTGACTAGGCAATGGGGTTAAGTGACTTGCCCAGGGTCATACAGCTAGTAAGTGTTATGTGTCTGAGGCCAGATTTGAACTCAGGTCCTCCTGACTCCAGGGCCAGTGCTCTATCCACTGTGCCACCTAGCTGCCCCAGTAGCTAACATTTCTATAGCATCTTCTATGTGCCTGGCACATAGTGCTAAGCACTTTACAGATATTACATTTGATCCTCACAACAGCCTGGGAGGTAGGTGCTATTGGTATCCCCATTTTGCAGTTGAAGAAACTGAGGCAAACAGAGGTTCAGTGATTTTGCCAGGATCACACAGCTAGGAAGTGCCTGAGGCCAGAGTTGATTCAAGTCTTCCTAATTCCAGGCCCAGTGCTGTACCCACTGACCCACCCAGCTACCTCTTTGAATGATAATAATAATAGCTATCATTTCTGTAGTGCTTACTTAGCTGTGCTAAGGGCTTTACAATTATAATCTCGTTTGATCCTCACAACAACCATGGGAGGAAGATGCTCTCATTTATCCCCATTTTATAGTTGAAGAAACTGAGGTTAAATGACTTGTCCAGGGTCACACAACTAATAAGTGTCTGAGGCCACATTTGACCTCAGATCCTCCTGACCGCAGGCTTAGTGTTCTATCCACTAAGCCTCCCAGTTGCCTTTTGGAGAGCAATTTCAAGAGAATGGAGAGTGGGAGGTTGTAGCAGAAGCCTTATTTCAGGGAGTAGGAAAGAGCGTGCTCTTGGAGCTCTGGAGGCTTTGGAGTAGATAATTCTTTTAAAAGGAGAGGAAGAGATAGTGACGGAGTAGAGGAGCCAGAGCACGTGGGCTGTGTCACTGAGCTGGAAAATAGGAAGACAATCATTGACCATGGTCAGCATTCCCTAGGAGGGGCACAGACAGGGCAGACAAGGCCTCCAGTGTCCCTGCCCTGGCCACAGCCCTGTCCTCAGCCCCAAGCTGTTAAATAAGCCAAGGTGGGAATCACTCCGCCTGTCAGAGAACAGGAACATTGCTGGGCCTTAGGGATCTAGAGATAAAAAAATGAAGCTGTCTCTATCTTGAGCTTATGTTCTGGGAGAGATGATATGTGCATAAATAAATAGATAAAAAATCAAAAGGTAAATGGGGTGAGGGCCTGGGAGAGTTCTAATAGTCAGGAAAAACCTCCTGTGGGAAGAAGGGGGTGCTGGAGCATCTCTGAAGGGAAAGAGGGCTTCTCTGAGGCAGAGGCAGGGAGTGAGGACACTCCAGGCCCAGGGAATGGCCGGTGCAAAGACTGGGAGATGGAGAGTTAAGTTGGACCAGAGCAACAATTCACCCGCATTACAGAGGTCAGAAAGAAGAAAAAGGGAAAGGTAGATTGGGGCGAGGCCTAGAAGGTAAACTGAGGGGGATCACGTGATCTTGATGAGGTCTAGAGGTTTAAGTGTGCTGGGACCCCAAAATCACAACACACGGGTCCTGAGTAACAGAATTGGGAGGAGGAGAGAGAGGAAGAGAGAGAGAGAGTGCTGGGTTGTTTGGTTCAGGTAAGGCCTTATGTGGCAGATGGTGGCTGAGCCGTGTTTTGAAGGAAAGGAGGGTTTCTACCTGTTGACCGTTTCTAAACTTGGCCTCAGGTCAGTCTGTGGCTCATCTGTCCAATGCTGACTTACGTCCAATCTTGATCTATTGAGAATCCCACTAGAATCAGTTCTCAGACCAGCAAGGCAGCTTAATGACAATAGAATCCTCAGCTATAGCAGGGATGTGCTGCAGGCTGCTGGTTCTGGCTGTGAGAGCCAATGGTCAAATTTTCAGTCTGAGAACTTATAACTTGGAAATCTACAAATGCTACAAATTAAGGTTTGATTTCGTGTTTTTTTGATTGTCTAGAGTTCAACTGATGGAGAAAATATTAACAACACAGGGTTTTTTTTCCCCTTTGGAAAAACTGGCTATTAAACATTTACCAGCACATGAACACTGGGCCTGTGGTCAGGAAGGCCTGAGTTCAGATGTGACCCCAGACCCTTCCTAGCTGTGTGACCCTGGGCAAGTTACGTAACTCCTGTTGGCCTCAGCTTCCTCATCTGTAAAACAGGGATAATAACATTACCTCCCTCCCAGGGTTGTTGTGAAGACCAAATGAAGTGCTAATTGTAAAGGGCTTAACACAGTGCCTGGCACATAGTAAGTTTTATATAAATGTTAGCTATTCTGCCCCTGCCTTAAGAGTTAAGGGCCCACCTAAACCTCCCAAGACAAATAAGAATCTGGTTTATTTTAAGAGCTCTGAAAGGGTCGTTCTTGAGTCACGTCCAACTGTCCTTGACCCCATTTAGGGTTTTCTTAGCAAAGATACTGGAGTGGTTTGCCATTTCCTTCTGCAGCTCATTTTACAGTTGAGGAAACTGAAGCAGACAGGGTTAAGTGACTTGCACAGAGTCACACAGCTAGGAAATGTATGCAGTCAGATTTGGACTGGGGTCTTCCTGACTGCAGGCCCAGCACTTTATCCATTGGGCTATCTAGTTGCCTCCAATGATTAAAATTGGAAAATGTAAATTAAAAAATAGTAATGCAATCCAGGTTCCACTAGAAAAATAAATTGGGGGGGGTGAGGCAATCAGGGTTAAGTGACTTGCCCAAGGTCACACAGCTAGTAAGTGTCAAGTGTCTGAGGCCGGATTTGAACTCAGGAACTTCTGACTCCAAGGCCAGAGCTCTATCCACTGTGCAACCTAGCTTCCTCAAATATACATTTTTTAAAAAGAGTAATTAAAAAAAAGAAATTAAAGATGACATCAAAGTTGAAAGTCTGGATGCCTGGAAGGATAGTGGTTTATTTGACAAATTGGGGAAATTTGGAAGTGAGGAGGATTTTGACAGAAACATGAGTTCTATTTAGCTCATGTTTGAGACGCTTATGAAACAAGATCTTGTTCAAAATGTCCAAAAGGCAGTTGGCGATTCCAGAGCTCAAGGAGAAAGTCTGGAGCTGGGTATAGAGAGCACAGAAATGGTTGTGGAGCCCATGGGAGCTGATGAGATTGATTGGTGAGAGGCCTCAAAAGAGAAGAGGGTCCAGGAAAGAGCCTTGGGGGCCCTGGGCTTGGCTCTGGGGAAACAAATACAAAAAAAGAAAACCATCCCTCTAGCTTATTTTTCTTTTCTTCCCTTAAAGAGCGAACAACTGAACAAAAAGCTAAAATCTTTAAGATAAAGTGTTTATGTATTCCTCACGTTATGGTCTGGTGCATTAACTGCCTCATTTAATGCTCTGAGGGAATAGGTGCATCCTATAGCAGGGCAGGATTTTCATTTCTTTTTGTCCATTTCATTGAATATTAAGGCTTTTTCCTTCACTCATATTTTCTTTTAAGATATTCTACTAATTTTGTAGCTAGGTGGTGCCGTGGGTAGCGTGGCAGGCCTGGAGTAGGGAAGACTCATCTTCCCAAGTTGAATTCCAGCCTCGAACATTTCCTAGCTTGGTGACCCTGGCCAAGTTGCTTCACCGTGTTTGCCTCAGTTTCCTCACCTGTCAAATGAGCTAGAGAAGGAAATGGCAAACTGTTCCTGAATCTCTGCCAAGAAAACCCCAAGTGGGATCATGAAAAGTCGGACATGACCAAAACGACTGAACGATAACAAATAATTTTGCTCCTTTTTCGCATCTAGTCCAACCCTGTTATTTTACAGATGAAGAAACTGAGGCCCAGAGAGGTCATAGCATCATAGGATCACAGCTCTGGAGAGGGTCCCCTAGTCCAACCACCCCATTTTACAGGTGAGGAAACTGAGGCCCAGGGTCACTACTGGTTTGGGATATCCTAATGGGCTGGATTACATGGCCTTAGAGGTCCCTTCCAGCTCAGAGCTATGATCTTTCCCAAGGCCTCAGTTTCCTCATCTGTGCAGTGAGGATGGACCAGATGACCTCTGAAGACATTTCCAGCTTGGAGATTCTGGGACTCCACTGCCATTCGGGGTGAGGGGAAGAAGGGAGGAAGAGAGGTTGGGGAGCTGAGAGGCTCTTCCACAGCCTTTCCCCCAAAGCTGACAATTTTAGTTTCAAAACTGAACCCACAGAGAGCTTTCTTGAATGGAATCCTGAAAGATACCCTCCAGAGGGAGAGACAGAAATAAGGCAGAATTATCTCAGAACTCTGGCAAGGTTTAGACCAACTTCCCTGCCTTTGGGCTGGTCCTGGCTGCTCTTGA